GTTTTGGGTGTGTATTATAGTGTTAGGTGTATGACATATTGTTAGACTGCTGATTACCTGCTTCTCTGGTTCTGGTTCTGACCCGGTCGGTATCTGACAGTGTCACCTGCCTGCTCATTAAACAACCATCTGCTCTACATTTAGACCCTCTACTTGTATTCATTACAATAATTTATTCTCTCACAGGCATCTAAAAAGCTACTTTATTGTTTAAGGAATATAAACAAGCGAAATTTTTTATTAAAAACAAGCAAATTGTTGAATCTTACTTACTGTAGTTAGTGGCCATACCAATGTGGAAATTTTTGCCAATACCGCTAACTGATAGGCATATATTTTTGTCTAATATTACTGATACCAATAACCATGTAGTGTCTGAGCTCCACAACAGTCACATGACAAGCAACAGTCACATGACAAGCAACAGTCACATGACAAGCAACAGTCACATGATGCACAACAGTCACATGACAAGCAACTGGGTGCTTAGAGCAGGGGTGTCCAATCTTATCCGCAAAGGGCCGGTGTGTGTGCGGGTTTTCGCTGCAACTCCCTAATTAGATTACTAATTAGAGGACTGATTAGCTGAAGAGTCCTCACACCTGGGTTTGAACAGCTGACCTACAGGTTATCCCAAAAACCTGCATACACACCGGCCCTTTGCGGATAAGATTGGCCACCCCTGGCTTAGAGACTTCAAGTCAATCTATTATTTTGGATACTTGGATAGAATTAGGAGGGATCATACAAATACTCCAATATGCATTGAAGAAGTGTTGAGCTTAGTGCCATTTGATGGACTAAATCTTCACCTTCAAAACATTTATCTAGTCAGGGATTGAAATCCTTTAAAGGTGCCATGATACCATAGACATTTCCTACATGAACAAACGACACGCTAAAACGAGCCAGTAGAAAGGTCACAGTTTATTGAATGATCACCTGAACTGTTGACAGAAACAGCGATCGACCTTGTTGGGGGCTGGGGTTCGTACACAGGCATGCTGCATGACGGCACAGTCACAGCTGTGACACACTTCCACAGACCCCACTGGCTGTTCGGGGACGAGCCAGTGAGGGGAGGCAGGTCAGCGACCATTTCAGTCAAAGGAGTGTTTCTAGGTGAGCAATCAAGTAAAAGAGACACAACTTTTGTGTAACTGTTATCAGTAATGTCCCATCCCATTGGTTCATACAGAGCTAAAACTACTGAGAGATTTATCAAAACATATAAAGTAAGAAGCTAAAACAATCTGTTGAACTATTGTGTTGTAACCCTGTTTACTTAATCGTTTAATCATATTGGTAACACGCTATTTGAGGGGACAAAAATACTTAGTAATAACTCAGTTACTACTGAAGTACACATCATGAACAAATCATGAACAAATTTAGTTACTAAAATGAAATGTGTCATGATTCATTAATGATGAACAAACATGACAGTTAGTTATTTTCATACAGCACTTCCTTCAGTGGTCCCTTCAGTAATTCACAAAGGTTTACATAATTAACTAATATAGTAAGAAATGTAGTACTTGCTTGAGAAAAGATGTGAAAAGATGTGTAATCAATTCATTAATGATCAACAAACATGAGATCAGTTTGTAACTAACACTTAGTTTGTGGTTAATTAATATGTAACTAATACATAATACTATTTGTGTCCCCTCAAGTAATGTGTTACCTTTGTATTTTGATCGTATTATACTTGTAAACACACATTAAAACTTGCACTGGTGAAAAAGCTCGATCGGGACCGTCACCGGTGCTCCCTCAGCTCTGTGTCCCATAGCCCACTGTTGGCCCTGACTTACTGAGGTCACGAAGAATTAATCATCCCTCATCTGTTAACCTGGACATTCATAGCTTGTAACATCACTGCATAAATGTTATAATTTGACAAGAACTGGAATGTTCCACTATTTGGCGTTGAGGGTGGGGGTCATTTTGGGGTGGGGTTGGGTTTCTGTGTAACTCCTACTCTTGCAAGGGCAGAATACACATTGAGATGCTAACATGCTTACACTGCACAGACAGACATTAGAAGATGTTGGAAGATTCTGCTGTAGGAACCAAAAACCACCAAAGCAAACACTGCTGCCCCCGTGACAAATTGATGCCTCTCTTGCCTCTTTAATGCTAAATATTCAATACAACGTATGACTGAAAACTACTGCTGTTTCCAATGGACACTAATGCTAAACTGGCCGCATTTTTTGCCCTTCAGGTGATGTAAGTATGTTTCCATTTATGTTCCAAAAGCTTGTACCCTGGTGTAAGTATAAGGTAATACCCTGCTCTACTGTGTTAACATGAATCTGCAGAAGTGGAAATAAGTCACTGACTTTCAAATAATAAGTAAGTCTCAAGTCTTACCGCTCAAGTTCTAAGTCAAGTCCCAAGTCAACAAACTAAAGTCTCAAGTCAAGTGTCAAGTCTAACACCAGGTCAAATCCCGAGTCAACAAACCAAAGTCTCAAGTCAAGTGTCAAGTCAAGATAGTCTAACACCAGGTCAAATCCCGAGTCAACAAACCAAAGTCTCAAGTCAAGTGTCAAGTCAAGATAGTCTAACACCAGGTCAAGTCCAGAGTCAACAAACCAAAGTCTCAAGTCAAGTGTCAAGTCAAGATAGTCTAACACCAGGTCAGGTCCGAGTCAGCAAACCAAAGTCTCAAGTCAAGTGTCAAGTCAAGATAGTCTAACACCAGGTCAGGTCCGAGTCAGCAAACCAAAGTCTCAAGTC